TGTACAGAAGTGGAAAATAGAAGGAGAAAGTCCTCTTTTTGTTTCTGTTTTTGTTATGGATGTTTGTTGGCCTATTTCACCTTTTAGGCTAAAATGTAACTGATAATATGATTAGAGATAAAATAAATAAATAAATAATAATAATACCAATGATACTAATGCCAATGCTACTGTGCCCATTCTGAATATCTCTGCTTCTAACAGTGGTAAAAGAGATGACACTTCACAAGGTGCTGTGAAACAATATGCCAAAGTTGGAATTTACCAGGTAATCATAGGGGTTTCAAGAAACACCACTGGGCCAGAAGAATTAAACCGGTCTGATTAAATTCCATATAATGTGTTTGGTAAGTTGTGCAGGAATATTGAGATGTATGTCTGTGTTTTTCACACATGGTTGGTCTACAACAGAATCATGGTGCCCTTATTATTTGCCTAGAGGTTATGTTAATCCTAGCAACAACTACATACACACAGATTTAAGAAATCCGATAAGTTTAGTCTGAAGTAAGTTAACCAAAGTTACAAACCAGGAAGAAATCCTTCAGTGGTGATAGTTAGAAACATGGAATAATTCGTGGTCGGCTGCGGACCACAAAGATTTTTTTTTTTTGTACTTAATTTTAGATGCTAATGTCCTTGGGAAGGACCCAAAGGGAATTTATAAAATTCAATTTGTTGACCCAAATCCAACTTTAGACTCTTTTCCTGATGACACTGTAGATACTGTAGTTTCCTTCAAAGTAAAGACTCACCTGACTCACCGGTAAAATATTTAAACCTCGCTTTGTGGAATGATTCAAGTTTAAACCGGTTTTGCAGAGAAGAACGCTTGCCTTGAATGTCAGCTTGTATTATTTTACAGAATCATACATTTAGTTCGAAATTAAAAATTAAAAATCTGAATATTTAGTTAGAAAATTAAAATTTTAGAATGTTTGTTAATTAAATGTTTAGTTTCTTACCTAAATATTCCTAGGAGCGGCCCTAGTCCTGCCTCTCTAAATTTGATAGATGTGTGAAAGTTAAATTTTATTATTTTTTTTTTACCTTTATTTAACACATAAAACTTTATTTTATACATTAAAATAAATGTCAGGTACATAAAAACAAAACAAAAAAAAAACATATCAAGTAAAAACAGTTCCGGATTATTGACGCTGCCACAAATTCTTTCACTTTCAACTTAAAAGCATTTAAAGCTAAAAGCTCAGTCAATTTCCAGTTTGTTTGTAAAAAAAATCCATTCACAAATTAATTCATGGTGTACTTCAGTGGAGTAGCATTAAAATATGTATTTAATCATGAAATAATTATATTTACTTCATCTGGTCTGGAGATGAAGTTTTCAACCTGCTTCTGTAGTTTTACCTCTCCTCCAGCAGGTGGCGTGAGCAGGCACTAGTGGCTGGGCAGCCACATGTGTTCCTCATCTAATCATCAACACAGAAGCTTAATAAGTCCCCTAGTTAACACCTCTGTGGTAAAGGTTTAAGCGTCACCGGTGTTAGGATGAGTTTAATAATCTGAGAGTCTGTTAAACCCTGATATTACCTGCCTGTTGTGTACAAAATAAATTCTTCCCAAACAGTTTATCTTCTCAAAAATCTATCCTTATCGCCGGTGTTTTTATAGCATTTACAACTAATAACTTAGACTGCATGAAAATTACAATGGTAAAATTTGTACCATGTTAGACATCGTTGGAAAGCTTAGATTCTCCAAAATTCAACCACCAAGTCCAGTATAAGGACACAGCGACCACGACAGCACAATTAACACAGATATAGCAGCATTTAAAAATGTAAACTTACAAACCAGCTGCAACAACATACCTTTGAAGGCGTCCAAAAGCTGTTTTATAAATCCATGCTTGAATTGTTTATATTCCTTTCATCCAGAAGGGTCCACAGATAAAAAGAGATCCAGAATATTCATAATAAAAATCTTCCATGATGAGAAAATCACATAACGTCTGGTTTTTGACATCAGAAAAGTTAGCTGGTCATAGCTAACGTTTAGCATCTTGCTAATAAGATTTACCTCCTCATTTGTTTATGGAGGACCAGCTCTTCCATATTTAAAAATAAATACAGAAATAGATACATGCTCAATAAATAAATAAGCATACAATTAATTGCCCCTAAAAAGACAATAAACAAATAAATGTAGTCAGAAATGAAATTATACAGTGAGACATAAATGTATATATCTTTTTTAATTAGCTTCTTTATTTATTTGCCTTTGTAATAATTACCTTATTTATTTATTTTGCGTTATAGTCTTCACCTATATTCATTAATTATTTATGCGCATCTATTTTTGTCTGTTTTATTTTTCCTTTGTATTTTTTTTACCCTTTTTAGTTCTTCAATGCTATTTATTTCTGCCTGTCATTTTTACATTTTTGTAAGCATTTCTACCTCAATATGCAAATGAGGAGGGGCTGTGTCTTAAAGGATCAACTTCTGCCCATTGGTCGGTTGGCAGGTTCTCTGGCTGACAGGCTCCTTCTTGTCAGCCAATGACGCACTGTTGTTTGACCACATGGGCTGTTTGGCTTTATAGCCAATGAAATATGGTTTTAAACAAGGGTAGACATGGCTGGGTTGCATAAAGAAGAGCCGACTTGCGTAAGAGTGAAACACACTGCTGAGGCTGGATCAATCAGTTCAAAACCGTTTACAAACAACACTTCGATATTTTTGAAGTTTGGATGCCGATTTTGTTTAATTACAATGCCTAAGTCGGAAAACAAAACAAAACAAAATACAGCTCACAAAAGGCACTGGGGCTTATTTGAGCTTGAAAAGCAGCAGTTTCCCTATTTTTTTTTTTTATAGACTTTTATGTTATTTTAGGTTTACAAAAGTTAGATTTTGTTATATATAATTCTGAAATGCAGCTTAGGCTGTGTTTTACTCACCCAATTTTGCTTTGCTTTTTTCATTTGGGTATGAAAAATAGGCAAAGATTACATCAAATGAGGTGGGTGTTAAGAGGATTATTTAACTAGGACAGTTCTTCTGTCAAGATAGAAATTAATTATCTTCATTATGTAAGGGGAAAAGATTTGGGAATGGAATGAGAGTAGTGTCCTTGATCTGAGAACATAGTGTAATATTTAAAAATGGAACCATGGATGTCTCCTTATTTACAAACATGTATGGTGTAATGATGTGATGATGCTTATTAGCTAATAAAGGTACAATTGTATTTCAACCCAAGGTCTTTGTGTTTATTTTATACAGTAAACAATTTATCACTCAGGCTAGATTTACTCTTCTTCGGTTACATCCGAATGAACGAGGCAGATTTATTTGGTTTGTTATTAATAATTCTGCTGATAGCAATAGTCTAAATTATTAAATTGGTGAAGGCAACTAGATCTTAACAGCCAATCCCGGAGTCTAACCTTTATATAAATAAACCCTGATGAATAAGAAAATTACATTTATAATCATTCTACTATTAACATATTAATATTCGAATGACCTATTGATTAACTATAACTCCCAGTTCTAGTTATTTAATATATTCATGATCTTCTGGTAAACTTGGACAACATTCATGTTCTTTATGTTTCTCTGTAAGGTAGGGAATGTGAGGGAATGTCAGTCAAGTCAAGTCAGCTTTTATTGTCACTTTCTTCATATGTACAAGACATACAAGGGAAATGAAATTACGTTTACTCTCTAGAAATATACAAATATACAAGAAATATACAAGACTGACATTTACAGACTGACATAAAGTGCGGGACATGACAGGTAACAGTGATAAGAAAAATATAAAGTATAGACATTACAATAAAAGCAATAAAACAGCATCAATAGTTTATTCCAGGCTCAGGTACAGTAGTGCAGGTCAGCCTGGTAACTCAGAGTTCTGATAACAAAAAGATTATGTTTCAGTGGGGTGATGTGAGTCAAAAGGCAGGTATTGGTCTGTTTGTGCAGGTTTCTGCGTTAAGACTGCCATTGTCTGGAAACTGCACGGCTGAGATGATGTGAATGGTGAATGCCTCAGCTTCCTGGGTTTGGATTTGACCCAGATATCTTCCACCTATCTAAACCAGTAAGTCGCTTATGTTCCCTTGTATATGCAGAGTACTCTGATCTCAATCTACTCCTTCTATGCAGCTGTCTGTTGGAGCAGTGGCTTATCTGTAGCTGAGAGAGAGCAGCTGGATAAGTTCATCAGGAAGACCAGCTCTGTGATTGGATGCCCCCTGGAGGTGGGAAACTAAAGGACCCTAACTGAAATAACATATCTGTTTGATAATGTCTATGCATAAAGCTGTTGCTGAACTGGAAAGCTCCTTCAGTGACAGACTGCTGCACCTTAAATGCACTGGGGGGCGTTATCATAAATCCTTCTTCCAAGCAGCTGTAGGTATTTATAACCATCACTGTTATCAACAACTTCAATAAGTTCTTACATTCATGCTGATTTTTGCAGTTACTGTCTTAGCCACTTAAATAACATGTTGCTGTCATTTTTGCACATCTCTGGTGTTTGCTGCCATTTTTTCGCATAGCCATTAGTGTAAAAATGTCAACAGCTTTATGTAGATTTTTTTATTCTCCAGATGTACAGTATTTATGTGGTAAAAAAAAGTATTTGTTTTGTTTATTCTCTTAGCTCTTATTCTTTTATTTTTATACACTTCTTTAAGTTCCACATTTGTATGACCATTTTTGCTATAATCTTTAGCTGCTGTAATGCAACAATGTCCCAATTGTGGGACAATAAAGGGATTTTCTATTCTATTCTATTTTATTCTATAAAGATATTTGACACAATGGGTAAAACTGGAAACCCATGGTGCACCTTTACCTTTAAGCTACTGTAAAACCTCCTCTCAAAAAAAAGGCAACTGTACTGTAGACGGCATCTTTCTTGGACTGTGAGATTTTCTAACCCAGCGATGGACTAAGCAAAATGTGATCTCTACAAAGAAGGACAGGATTCATTCTTGTAAAATGTACACATTTTAATTTTACAATGGTGATCTTCATGATGCACAAAAATACGTATTATAAGGCAAGGCAAATACAAACCAAGAAAAAACTGTATTAATCTAATATCTTGTATGTTGCATACAATCATAATGCTTTTAAACATTTATCAGATGTTTAATTATTTATAGCAATGAAAAATTATTTTTACTAACAAAACTACTATAATAACGGTCAAATTATCCCAATGAAGAACAAAATACATGTATAATCTGTAATTTAAGAATATCCTTTTTTTATCTAAAACATAGATCATTTTATATTATTTTAATAGAAGGCAAGTATATAAAAGTGATAATTTGTCCCAAATAAAAAAAAATGAAACATATTTTCAGAATAAAACACCACAAGGTAACATCTTATAAGAATATGATAGAAGATATCAGGGAAAAATGATAAATGTAACCATAATGGAAATTCCACTTTTATACAGGTCACTGCTGGTTTCACTGTGCTTCACAATAATTTGTGGATGTGCAGGACATTGTTGCATTGTGGACAGGAATGCTGCACATCCTTGCAAGCATTCACACAGAAGGGGATTAAACAGCAGGGCCAGACCCTGGAGTGGAGGATAGGGTAGAATAAAAAGAGACAAATTAATTCTTGATCACAATGCTTTATTAGAGCTGATGAGAAACTGACCGCATGTATCTGAAATATATACTTAAAGAGGTCTTAATTTGACTTTTAATAACTTTTTTCGTTCATGATCCTCTGCAACCCCATGGTCATGTTTAATGGCATAAATTTGCCTCATGGTGGCAGTATTGGTATATGCGAAAATCTGGCGTTCTGCCACACCTGTGTGTTCTTGAGTAATTGTTTGGTGCATAAGACTTTTGTTGTTGAATGAAGCACATTTATAGGGTTAGAGTATATGTCTGCAATTTGTGAGTAAAAACCAAGCTTTAAAGTCAATGTCAGTGTAGTGTGTTACATGAAAAGAAACTCAAGAGTACTTAAAAGTTTTCAGCAAAGGTTTGTTTTCAGGGGTCAGAATGTACAGTAAACTCGGAAAGTTAACATTTTTATTAATATTTTAACAAATACTTAGCGATTGTTGATTACACTTTTTTTTTCCCTTTGAAGATCCAATATTTACAGAACAGTCCTAAAAGTATAAAAAAAAATCTCTTTGACAACAAAACAGTTTTTTAAAAATATTTTGTCTTTTTGTGTGTGTATAGTGTTGAAAACCAGGTAAGATAAAATATTTACTAACCATAAAAGTGTTTTTTTTTTTTTTTTTTGTCTAGCCCAGATAAGCATGTATGAAATTTTTATAAACATGTTTATTTACAGCTCAAAACATGTCAGGGCATTAAAGATTAAGCCTGTAAGGCAAGTGGAAAAAATCAACTTACAAATCAAAATATTTCAAAGTACTTTTTTTTCATATCTAGAAGGCAAGTTGAAAAATTTTTTTTTTTTGCGGACCAAAATATTTTAAATCTATTTTTGCTGTTCTACTCTAAATGGCAAGAGGAAAAAATCATTAGACCGAAAAATATTTCATATTATAAATATTTTGTTTTGCAGTTTACACCTCAAAGGCAAGTGAGGTTGTGTTTTTCTGAGGCAAATTTTTTTAAATGTTCATTATTGTAATACTTAACCACGAAAGGCAGTGTAGACAAGCAGCAGGCGTCCACTAAGAGCTGTATTGTTCAAACATAGTAAGAAAGGCTGGTTTATAAGGACCATTATCGTACTTTCCAAAATTCATTGTTGTAAATAAGATAAGACACAACTGCAGCATTTAAACTTTGCTGTTCATGCTAGTGTATGTTATCAAGCCAAGCTTGTGTGTTTTGCTTCTGAATGCTAGACACTTATTGATTCGTTGTGTGTTTCTGCTCCATCCTGTTGGGGCATTTTGGTGCCCCCAGTTTAGCCAATCAAACTTCCAAAGACAATGTTGCTCTCATTCTACCCAAACTTCAAAGTGTAATTGTTGGTACTCTCTTCAACATGTCAAATTTTAACTGTAAATATCTTTCCTAATCACAAATTACAAAAAAGGTAATTATTTAATATTATTCTATTTTCTTTTTTAACTTGCATATTCTTTTTACTATTCCCTCTACAATTACCTTTCCCATGACCATTCTGCTCCTTCAGCACACTGAGATCCTGTTAAACTAATCCCAATTGCATCCTAGATATAATCAGTTATCTCATTGGTCAGACTGCCGCAGACATCTAACAAATAATTAATAGTAATAAGAAAAACATATATTAACTGTCCAAGATTGAACAATCAACATAACATTTTATCATAATGCATCTTAAACTAATTAGAACCTAGTAACAATATGTCATGATCTGCCCTGATAGCTGACATTAATTACTTACTTCATTCACCTGCTTAACTCTGCCCCGTTCCTAATCACCACTCATCTCATTCACCTGCACGTTCTGCTTCATATACTTGCTATTGGGGCCAGATCATTGTTTGATTTCGGTTTCATTCCTGTTTGTTAGTTTATTTCATTAGTTTTAGTTGGGTCCTTGGTTAATGTTCCCATCCCCTGAGGCCAGTGGATTGAGAGGGTTTGCTGTTTATCTTGTCTTTTGATCGTGTCCCGGATCTTCTCTGCGGAGCCCTCAGGGTTTTGGCTTGGATTGTGGGGAGGTTTGGTTTTGAGTCCAGTAAGCCTGGCTCCTATTTGGAGACCAGGGGTCCGTTTGATTCAGCAGGTGTAATAAATTCAGATTCAAATCTGAAGCTCTAAACTGATCTAGCCAAAAGTCGGGAACTCTGAGTGCTCGGTTTCACAACAGCTGCTATGCATTGGTTAAATCAAGTTTAACTAGGTCCACTCAGAATTTAACATGTGCGCAACAAGTATGAAAACCTATTATCTGTGGAGCACCGATTAAAAGAGTCACCTTGACAATAAGCAACAGGAAGTGCCTATTCACCCTACTGGAACTAGAGATTTTAATGCAGAATTGCAAAAAAAAAAAATAACAAGGAACATGTGTTTAAAAGACTGAGAAACACAGCTACAAAGGAGAGGAAGGTGGCCAAGGAGAAGATTGTTGCTCGAGTTAATGTGTAAGTTTATATGAGGTGGTTTATGGCAGCCAGTTTAAAGTTCCTGCAATTATTCTTGGTACCATGTCTTGTCTCTGTCCCTCAACCCCTGAGCCTGCCTGTCTGCCCCTGTGCATGTCTGTCTGAGCTCACTGCTGGGCTAATGGAAATCTGAACCTGCCTTCTCTCTCTGTGGATTCCTGGAACCCTGGATCTGTCTGTTCCTGTATGGATTGGAGCCCCTGCTCAGTCTGCAGACTCCTGGGCTACAGAACTGTCCCTGTCTGGTCTGTTTTCCTGAATTTGATTGGATTCCTGCCTGCACTCTAGCGTTGCTGCATCGGGGGACCCTAATGGATGGCTCAGGGCCGCATCTCATTGGCAGTGCATCGGCTGATTCTGCCTTTGATTAAGAGGATGGACTGACCTCTCGAACCAGAGTGTCAGTGATTGGGCGGTGCCCCGCCCCCTCCTGCAGACACTGTGGTCCTCAGTTCTACACTGCAAAAAATATAAATCTCAATAAGTTATTTTTTCTTAAAATAAGTGTGTTTTTCCTTGATTTGAGGAGATAAGTAAGACACTTTGCCAATGGAACAAGACAATTTCCTTTTAAAATAAGAAAAAAATATTTTATCGTCTTATTTCAAGTAAATATTATCTAACTATCTTATTTTAAGAGTGAAAATACTCATTCCATTGGCAAATCATCTTATTTACCTGCTCAAATTAAGGCTAAATATACTTAATTTAAGCCATTTTTTACTTATTTCTGGATTGTTTTTGCAGTGTACAGCTCAGCATTTCTGTTCTGCTTTGTTTTTGTTAAAATAAACCTTTTGAACATTACTACTGACTGTCTCACCTTCAATATTGGGTCCAGCATTCTGAGATCATTATACAATAACAACAGAAAACTAGAAAGGATATAAAAAAACATCAAAAATGTTTTCAAATAGCACTAACAAACAGTATAATTTCTCTGATTTTTCCAAATCAGAGAACAAGAAAACTAGAAATAGTTTGGATCTTGATATGTGATATCACACGTAGGTAATTGTTTCTCAGTCAGTGTTAGGGTCCATGCTTTTACTGACATGCGTACATTTGGAAATGAAAACCAAGGTACTAATTTAACAAGAATATGCTATATTGGCATGACTTTTTATAGTTAACTATTTATAAAGTGTCTCACAACATCAACCTCTTTAATTTCATGAAGCTTTTACCTCTTCCTTCGTTAAACTTTAACTGGTTGTGTACTAGAGAGAATAGGGGAGGGGTTTGCACTCGGCTGACTACAGATAGTTACAAGAAAGGAAAGTCCCAGCCTGGCCTGTACAATATGCAGCAGAACCTCAATGCTATATTCAGTTATTTTTGACATGTTACATTTGAGGGGGCAAGGCATAATAAATTAATGCTATTGCACAATGTTTGCTGTCCTCGGCCACCACAACTATCTTTAATTTGTAGCCATTTAAGCCCACCACCAGATCTTACGTGTATTTTCATGTTGAAGTTTTTACTTACCCTATAATAAACAGTGATCCAACAATTAACCAGGTAAGGAGGCCCAGTTTGTATTCAATTGAGGTCACAACTCTGGTCTGGCAATGCGGACATAGCATGCTTCCAGGAGCATCAGTGGGCCTCGGTTGCACTACAGTCACCTGTTTCACTGCCAGTTACACATATTTTTAGTGACAGATACTGAAAAATGTTAACTGTATGCTGTGTGCTTTCTTTTCCTTTATTACCCACTGTGAGCCCGGTCCTTAAAAAGCCATGAAAACCCAACGAGTTTAAAGAATAGTGTCTGACTCTGTCACCCTTCATCATGTTCATGTTTTTTTTTTTTTACAGTTTGGGTGTTCTTATCCATTTTTTCCACAACACACACCACTGTGTTTGGACCTCCAGTGTACCTCTGAAAAATTCAAAGTCATGTTTTAAAAATGGAAAACAAATTGACAAAGTCACCCACCTGGTTGAGCAACTTGATTTTGTTGTGCCATATACTGCACAACCGGCTGTTGATCTAGAGTTAAAAAAAATAAATAATGCAATTATCTGATTGAGTCATAAACTGGTCAAAAGCTTTTGCCATATAAGAAGAAGCAATAATTTCAGGAAAAGGCCCGACATTATTTTGTGAACAACTTATAGACATATTAAAAAGGTGTCTGCTTTCTTACCATTCTTAAGATATTGCTGAGGATATTGCTGAAAATCCATTTGGTGATACTGCGGAGCAACAGACTGGGGATATTGCTGCTGAGGATATTGCTGATCAACAGACTGTTGATACTGCTGTACTTCACTCTGGGGATATTGCTGATCAACAGGTTGTTGATAATGCTGAGCAACAGGTTGGATTACTGGCTGGTTATATTGCTGTGCCACAGGCTGGGTTGCAGGCTGAAAATCAGGTGTGGATTGTGGTAGTGGATTGTAGTCCAAAGGAGGACCAGGATATGGTGGTGCCGGGATATCTGGGATACCTGTAGAAGGTCCTTCACCATTTTCCATTTTCTATGTGAAAGAGGAAGAAAAACTACTTTAGCAAAGCTGTAAAATAATGAATCTGTCCAACAGTTCCTTTTTCTACAGAGGAGCAGAGTTATGACAATGTGGCGCCAGGCTTGCCAAGTGCTTAAAATAATGAAAGGGCTTAATTGTAGCATTAACTAATTCCTAAAAGTTTACTGTTAGGTTGGAGTCTTGTAAAGTCATGCATGATTTCCTCCCAAAACGGCACTCAATGGGCTTCATGCAACAACTTTTTTTTATTGTTGTTGTAAATTTCTCTCACTTTTTCTCCTACCTTTCCTTCTATGAGTGTGCCACTTCAAGTTCAACAATGATTCCTAACTTCAGTAAATTATCCTTGCAAACATGATGCAGTTCGCCTGTGCATAACTGAGAGCGTGTTCCCAAGAAATTTCTATTTGCTTAATTGTGGTCAAAATAATGCCATATGAGGGTATGACTTCCCATGCTTGTCAGAATGTGTTCCTTCACAAAAACAGCACTGAAAACGAAGAAGAAAACTTTATTAGTTTGGAGATCGAGGTTCTTCCAACTGAGAGCTGAGAATTAAGGGACCAATAAAAACCAAGTAGTGTAGAATAAATCACAAGAGCTGTAAGTGCCATGGTTGGACTGTTACAGAAGTGACAGCAAATTAAATCAATGTCCCCTGGATAGTATTATGGAAACTGCAAGTGCAGCTTCCATAATACTATCCAGGGGTTAGTATTATATAATGATGAATCCTAATAAAAATAAAATTGACAATTTCCTCTAAGTAACAACAATAGTCATTTAGGGTAAAACTAGATTTGGATAATAACTGACTGAGAAGAAAAATGGTGGATGTGATAGCTTCTCCTTAATCACTTGTACGAACAATTTAGAAACAAATTTGTTCATATTAAAGCTTTTGCATCAGGCCCATTATATACTAAGAGACAGCAGTGTAACATAGCATCTGAAAAGAAAACCAAGTTTATGACACACCTCTTTAAAGTGGGTTAGTGTTTTCGTATGAAACGTTCTTAACTGCCTTTTTAAACCTATTTGTATCTTTTCAAATAAGATTGACATATTTGTCACATCACATCAACACATTTCATTACAAAATATTGGGGTTTTATGCGAGAGAACAAAATAACAAAGAGCATATAAGCATAATGAAAGATTTTAAAAAAATATAGGTTGTAAACATTTTAGATAACAATATATCAAATGTAATGGTTTATTGAGTTAAAGTTATAACAGTATATGGGATTATCAATAAATCTTGCTTCAAAGGAATAAAGGCACAAAAGACACATATGGCTTCTAATTGTATGTGTGTGAAGAAGAAGCATGAAGAAAACACTTCATAAAAACTGTATCAGAGACTCTCAGTTAATTTTTATGTGTGAGCATTAATTGAGGTATTGTCATGCATAAATATTCTTTGATGCATACCATTTCATTGGAAATCTGACTGTATGCTAATGCTGCTAAAAGGTGAATGGGATTTTTTTGTGGTTTGTATATAAAATGGCTTTTGTCTTTTCGGTCTTCCATACAGCCTAGATCTGTAAATTGTTCCTTTCAAAATGTGTCCTTTCTACAGATTCTCACCCTTAAGACACAGAAAAGTATTAATTAAATTGTATTTCTATATATTCTAAAGATTTCTCATTCTGCACAAGAGTAATGGGACTATGGACTGATTGTATTATGTTTATTTGTATGTGTAAAACACTTTTTTTTTTTTTTTGCTAAGGTCATGAAAAATGATTAGATATGGAAGTGCAGATAAGGAACAATGGTCTGAGTGAAGAAAAATGTTTGTTCTGTGTCTTGTCAATGACCCAAAATCTCTTTATCTGGTTCAGCTGAGCAAAAAGCACCAGTTTCATACATCAGTGTCTTGGAATTACATTTCGACTGTCCGTTGTGATAAGTTGGCCAGGTTAAGCTGTCGCCCACATGTCAAAGGAGCAATGAGTCATTTTCATTGCAATGTGGAGTATGCCAGGGATGCAAACAGTTGCTGATAATGAAAAGAAACATACAGGGGAAAAAATGTCACCAGCAGCCTAGGAATGTATGCTGTAACTATCTACACATTTTCCTTTTTATTGCTTGCTATAATGACACTTCTTCAAACTAAAAGGTATTTTTGCCAATTATTTTTTTCTACAATCCTCATAATTTAAAATGTTAAATCAAATGATTCAAACATATATGATCATTATAGACTTAACAAATCTGTTCTTGCCTTATCTTCGTATGAAGATGCAAAAAAACAAAACAAATGTATCTTAAGAAAACTCAATGTAAATAAAAAGTTAATTTATTTAATTTACTAATTGAAACTCTTACACCCAGGAAGTATATTTTAAGGCTTTAATTCTATGAACCTTTGGTTTATAGGAATTGAAAACAAGATATTCCGGATAGGTGATCACTCCAGAAAAAGATTAATACAGAAAGGTTGGCTTAATCAAAACAATTTTTAATAACTGCTTAAAGGTTGTTAATGTTATAAGGAACTTTTATTCTTACAAATAAGCCTAATCAAAATATATATTTTTAATTCAATGACAGCATACCTGAAAGTACACCTGTATGTTATGATAAATATTATTTGGTTTTACTGGTACAAAAAGATTTGGTCTTTGCTCATAGAAATCTGGAATTAAGAGAACAACACACATAGCTACTGAGGTATTTCTGCAATGAGAACATTTCTGTCTCTTAATCTGAACGTTTTAGATTTTCTCACCTGTGGTTGGATTTTCTGAATGCTTTGAAAGATGATCAGGATGCAGGACAACCAGGGCGTCTTATTGCTCTGACAGTGGTTGATTGGTAAAAGCAAAATTTGTTTCAGACAAAAAAAGGAGCAAAAAGAAGGCGGGCAGAAGTAGGTGTGGACAGTAGCTTCTTTAAAATAAACCAGTCCTCTGATAATATAATTCTCCTCTGTGTAGCGGGTAAACAGAAGTAGATTGACTTGTACCTTACTCTGCCTCCATTATTATTAATTAAAAAAACGTTTTGTGACGAGATGACAATTATTTTAAGACTGCACAAAGGTCATATTATACAACAGTAAACTGTTTTTCTAGGCTAAGTATGAGTCTCGTAGGTCTTGTGCTTCAAACTGTGCATCGTTGCATTGAACCAAGGAGCCAGGTTTTAATTTTTTAAGATTTTTTTTCCAAGGGCCTACATTGTCTAAGGCAGTAAACGGGGAACTGGTACCCCCACCAATAAAACCATCAGCCATCAGTTTGTGAATGGCAAATTATATGAATGCCCTCTGCAGTATTGTTCAGTGCTACAAAAGAGATAGAAAGTGGAACAGACTGTTTAAAATGTAAAACTGTGTTATCTGATAATGATCTGCTACTAAAAAGTGGTCAGAGAGGACAGGGTTTTAAGGAAATACTTTTATTTCTTCACATGCAATGCCATACGTCCACACAAGGTCCCCAGTATGAAGAAGAGAATGTGTGGGGCTATTCACATTGTGAATAAAAGCAATCGAGTCAAGTGTTAAAGACTGCATTTAAGCTATCACCTTCAGTCTCAGCATGGATGTTAAAATCCCCCACTATACTGTACTGACATTGTCAGTATTTAACACTGAATCCGATGGTAACTCTGAAAACTGATCAAAACATTCAGGGAAAGGACATGGTGGACAATACAAAGTTACTAAAGGAAGAGATTTTGATGCTTTGCAATTTGGATCAGGGAAACTAAGGATTAAATGTTCAAAAAAAGATATAATTTTGTGGCTTTCGATTAATCCGTAAGTCAAACTGAAAGATTGTTGCTAGTGCTTCTCCTTGCTCAGAATTTCTGGGTATGTGAAAACTGAAGTAACTGGGGGGAGTTGCCTCGAGTTCACATAATCCTTGTGCTGCAGCCACTTTCTGTGAGGCAACATAAATCAATTTGATTATTACAATTCAAGTTATTAACTAAAAGACTTTTTAAAGAGAGCCTGTTAGTTAATGTGTTTTATTAACTAACAAACCTTATTAAATGTGTTTTAATATTCATTAAAACACATTAAATAGTTGTAACATTTCCCCAATATGAGTTATTTTTATTTTTATTAGATTGTCATGATTTATTCCTTTAGGATTCTTTGTCAATTGATTTGATTTTGGTTGTGGGTAAGACACTGTTTGGATGCAGTAATGAGTGGGTAACAGTAAATAAGCTGCAGAGAAATGTGTTAAAATACAACTATGCTTTCTGAACTGCTCGAAAGAACAGCTAAATCATTCGAAGTGAGATGGATGCCGGGTCTCCGAATTAGGCCATGTTTTCCCAAAAAATATTATCAATGTAGCAAACATCATTCAGGACACTCTATACAACCAGTGGTTGCATGACGACATGTGGCTAACCATGTAATCACCCTTCAGATCAGGAAGGGGACCAGCACAGTCCAACACTGTTTTGGCAAACTTATTTTAAGGAACTTTGATCAGCGTAACCAGGTGTCAAATACCAGAGTCAGTTTCCCTGTGGGTGATCATTGAGCTGGGATATTCGGTTAGAGATTTGAATGGGTTGTTGGTAAACAGTAGGCAGAGATCTATGACTACACTTTCTGTAAAGTTTTCTTGTGTTCTAAGGTCGCCTGGCTGCTTAGGAACTGTTTGAGGACCACTATGTGGACGTGTTCCTGATCTTGGTGGTTCCAGGCTGTTAAAAAGTGGGCCTACGTTTGTTGTCGTATCTGTGATGTATTTCTGCCTTGGGGCGCAAAAATCTTCGGCTATTAACTCTCGTTAAAACTTGTACATGCACAGTAGCTCCTGTCCAGTAAAAAAGGATAGGAGAGTTTGGAGCACATGTGAGCTGCACCCTAAGCTGCCCGGTACTGTCGTCACAGTCTTAGTGTGGCAAATTGACTGGTCTAGTCACAGAAGTGAAGTCCCTTAAAGAAAACTTACCAAGAGAAGCTGGAGGTGAAACCATTTGGACCTGATCAGCCGCACATTAAATTAATCAGCAGTCCAAAGACAGATGTCTTTTTCCAGGACCTGGTTTAGCTACAAGGCTTGGCTAACTGCATGCAAATCTGCGTTCATTGCGACACACATGCAGACGAGCTGGTTTCTCAGTATAAACCAGCTTTAAGATGTCATGGTTTGAAAGCATGCATGGCATGGAAGGTGCACCTCCATGCTTAAAGGACCACATGTCAAGAGTCATGGGAGAAAGTCATGTGGTCATGATAATTAATACCAATACCAATTCTACTGTCCCCATTTTGTCATTGTCACTGGTTTTCACAGGTGTGAAAGAGATGCCACTTCACAACTAGTAGCTGTAGCAGGATTGGAATTCCAAACTTAGGGGTTATGTTAATCCTACCAACCACAGGACACAGTCCTTCCATGGTGATGGTTTAAAACATGTAAAAAATTGTCATCTTAAAAAAAAGACCCATATCACATTAAGTTCATTTTAGGTGTTAATGTTCTCGGCAAGGACCCAAAGGGTGATTTTAACATTCGCTTTGCGAGAGCTCATCTAACTCCAGACTTTGCTTCTGATTACACTGATAGTTTTGTTTCTAAAGACACTGATAGTTTTGTTTCTGATGACACTCATAGTTTGGTTTCTGATGGCACTGATAAATTTGCTTCTGATGAAACTGATCATTTCTATTCTTAAAACACCAAGAGTTTAGTTTCCGATGACACTTGACAGTTTTTTTCCTAGTATAGACACACCTGACTCACTGTAACTTATCTTAACCTTTTTTATCAGACATGATGCAGGTTGAAACTGGTTTTGCAGAAAAGAACACTCACTCAAAATGATCACATTTAGTGCTAGAAGCAATAACAAGAAAGACCACATTGCATTTTCGAGAAGTCATTCAAAGGTTTTCGCCTGCCCTGCTCCCCAGGCTGTCCTAGATTTGATTGTACGTTAGTTTTGTGTAATAATCCTTCATCCCCCAATTGTTCCACTTTAAATGCTCTAGCAAAACCACTATTCCTCATTTTTTTACTTTAGGCAATCACACCTGTGTGACTAGGAGCAATGACCCTTTTTTTAATGTAGAATCCATTTAGCCCCTTTTCCACTGAAAGCCCTGGATTTAAAGCCCCTGGGATTTGTAAAACAGGTAACAGTAAAAATGGGCAATTTATCATATAAGTAAATCCCTCAGCTTAAAAAGGTGATTTAACATCTTATGTTTTTTTTAATAACCACTAAATAGCAACTAAAAAGTAATTTATTTAGTTATTTTCCTTGTTTACAATAATCTGGTAAATCTTACTGGTAATTATCTACAGCACAGACAGAAAACATTCACTGTCAAAATGTTGTTTATTAAAGTACAAGTCAAATTAGCATATATTTATATCATACAGAAGCTCTAAACAGCATCCAAGTTATGAGCTCTCTTGCAATCCTGTTAGCATACACATTCAAAAATAGAGGTACAAGACAGGAAATTTTGTACCTTCAGTTACAGTTTTTAAGAATGTTATCTCAAAGGTACAGTACTTGTCATCCATTGTTATCCTGCCCTTTGCAGTTCTGTTTAAGTTGCTTTTTGAGATTTAATTAACATTTTTATTTATCTCCTTGTGTTTTCTTGGTAATTGTTTATTTTCCGTTTTGTTTTTTTATTTATTTTTTAATTCGTTTTTAGCTTTTTAAAATAAATATATTTGACCTTTAAAATTCTACTGGTATAATTTGTAAATTCTCCTTAACAATGCTCCTAACGACATCCTGATAGAATAAACTATTAATGTATCAACGATCAACATGCATTTCTGCTCCATAAAGCATCTTGACTATATGAAAAGTGCTTTGAAAAGTTGAATTAAACAGTTCTTCTAAAGTCCCTATCAATCCATGTCATGTAGGATGTCATGTGCCATCTAATATAGCTCCACAAGATAGTAGACAGCACCCAGCAGCTGCTTAGCAACTGAGCATTAATACAACACGTATTAGTGCCAAAGGCTGTGTCTGAACGCCGCCTTAACCCCTTAATCCCTCATCACTATTTAGAGTGGGGACAACATAGTGGACTTTATAGTGAAAATTAACTGACCATTCAGACAGATGGTCACTACTTTTGGCTCCCTGTTGTTGACATGACTCCTTATTCCCGCATGGTGCTTGCACCATCTTTATTTGTCACCACTGTCAAGTAGCTACAGCCGGCAACTATGACTATGTCTTGTCTAGTCATATGCTGAGTATCACTACCTGATCCGTACAGATAGCACGATCTGCATCATCAGCTCAATTGCCCATACGAACCAGATATACATTTGGGCCGCCTTCCATTCTACTTTGTAAAATAGTATTTTTTCCCTCCCTAAAAATAGCAAGCGTACAAAAATATAATGTGTAAAAGGTTTATAATATATTTACTGAGAAAATAAATTCACTATAATACTTTCTTTTTTTTTCCTTTCGTATTAACTTTATGGTATACTGTGCGTAATCTAAAGAAAGAAAAAACTAAAACGGAGATAAACATGGTTTAATTATATTTTGCTGGACTGCTCTGAGCTGTCCGATGACATCAGACAAGCAGTTTAACGGACAAAATTGAGAAAGGATCAAATTGCCTCAGAAAAGTCATAAATATTTTTTTAAAGATGTGTATTAGCATTCCTTATTGATTTGACAATAGAAATAAGTATTTTCAGTACCATAATTACATTATTTATGGCGACTTGGATGAATATCTGCTTGCACATGCGCAAATGAGCTCATGGTATGGATCGTTGCTCATGTACGGATCGGGTAGTATTACTGAGCTTGTGGCGGCATCTTCTGAAGACCAGGTTTATTGGCTAATTACATCACAGTGAAGCACCAAGGCCTGGATTGGAA